TGAAGAAGCTAGCTGTAGCCCAAAACATTCAATTAAAATCGAATACATTACAGATTGTCCATCTCTCTCTCTCTCTCCCTCCTTCTCTCTCTCCCCCTCCTTTTCACTCTCTCTCTCTCCCCCTTTTCACTCTCTTTCCCCCTTTTCACTCTCTCTCTCTCTCTCTCTCTCTCTCTTTCGTTTTGTAACATCCGTTCAGGAGGAGAGTAAACATGCCTCTCCACGGTTTAGATTCTTTAAGAGCTTTCAACAAACTTTGTTTACGAATACTTTGCCTCGACGGGATCTAGATGACGATTTATTTGCTTGAAATGTTTGAGTTCTTGAGCTGATGGTTTTCTTCTAATTCGATTGCATTCAGTGCAGTGTTTGTGTTGAATTATCCAAGGCATCTTCAAATTCGTGTAAACAGAGTCGTTAATTACACCATTTAATCTGGCAAGAGAATGGAAAACGAAGGAAATAATTTAATACGTTATTAATTAAGTTATATGACTACAAAAAATCGGACAGAGAGGAATAGGTTTATTAAGGATTTATCTTATTCTAGGTCCCTTCAAGACCTAAGCAAATATAATTCTCAGTAAGTGTTTCCCGGCTATTTGTGAATTGATATGCCTTATGCCAGGAATGGTTTCAAGGTATTTTCTAAAGATACCGCACTCTCAGATAGATTCCATAGATCGCTAATAATACCAAGAAGTCATATCGAGCATGGTGAGATTCGAACCCAGGTTACACCTGTTCGTAAAGCGAACCCTTTGCACCTTATTTAGATCAGTAACTAGCATGAAATTAATAAACTTACGTTAATGGGACGAGAATTTTGCGCATCCAGAGATAAACGAAGGAATTTGGCATCTAGGTTATCAATAAAATTTGATTAAGCTGATCAAAATCTTGGAAAATCACAGCAACAAGGACGATGGAGATAATTCAGCTTAACATGAGAAACCTGCTATTTGTAAATTTCTATGTCTTATTGGAAATGTTATTTGCGTTATCACTATCTGCCTTCTTCGGGGTCTTAAATTCAAAATTTCCCTTTGTCTTTTACTGGTTGTCACAAAAGTCCTTAGAGACCATTTTACTCTGTTATTTACCCCATAACTAGGTGGAGGTAATAGACACAGTTTCATGCGTTTCCAATTAGTATTTGTGTGCAGGTGGTCGAAACAGATTTACCCGGGATTCGAACTTGGTTCACCATCGCCACTCTTCGCGCCGATTACCGATATACAGCCTACCCATATCGTTAAATAGTTAAGTCCTGATTAAATTCTGATTAGTCACGAAAAATGAGTCTGTCAGCCAGATCTTAAGATGTTAAGTAATCTTGCTTTCATCTGGTAAAATCAGAGAGAAACCAAATGCTTATGTTGTATTTAATTGAAAGAAAACAGAATATTCAGGCCAAGGATTTGGGAACGCAATGAAAAACGAACTTATCAGGCAGTCGTTAATTAATGGAGGGATATTAGTAAGAAGAAAGAGCTTGGCAGACGTAGAGGGACATATTAACTAAACCTCTATGTAATTAATAAAATTAATCTCGTAAAGATGTTGGTTAGCCAATGGGTAATCATTCGATTCTTATCCGATTAATAAAGTTGGATTAATCACAGGAAATATTTGAGAAAACAATAAGGAAAAGGCCTATGGGTTAATAAGCAAGTTTGCTTAAGTTGACAAATGTTTTGGACAATCGGATAATAAACAAAATAACTACAGCACTAGTTAAGTGTCGAGGTGAGTATAATCTGTTTTAAGGCGATTATTGAGCTCATTAATAATAATAACAGTGGCTAGCCAATCCCTGTTGCAAAAGCCTGCTCAGGCACATACGTGTTTGTTCAACTCCTACAGAGACCAGCTGCCGTTTATACTGCAAATATGCTGAACATACATTCTTTACTGTTTCTTGGAGAGAGCTCATTAACTGCCGTGATCAACATTCTAAACAATACCAGAACGCTCAAAACATCGGCCATGATGACTTATGACTTGTGTCCGCCATCCCAAATAGTTATGTCTACCCAATACCAATGACAAGGTATGGTTTTAAGGTGTTTACCAAACGTACTGAACGTTGAGATCGATCCCGCAGATCGCCAATAAGAGCAAGACGTCATATCGAGCATGGTAAGATTCGAACCCAGGTCACATACGTCCCGAAAGCGAAACATGTTCCCTTTATTTAGATCCTTAACTATTTCATAATTAATAAACTTGCCTTAATGGGACGAGAATCTTGGTCATCAAGAGATGAACGAAGGAATTTGGCATCTAGTTTATCAATAAAATTTGATTAATCTGATCAAAATATTGGAAAATCAAGGTAACAAAAACCCAGTGACGATGGAGATAATTCAGCTTAACATGAGAAAAGTATTGGGCAGGATCAAAGCCCATGAATCGCTCGTACAGTCAGGGAGAAACGAACGAAAGAAAGTTCAATAATATTAGTAATGGTCATTGTAATATTAACAGTTTCCTAATA